CATATTTACCTTCTTTCATTTCCCAGATTCTGGACTTAATCTATTGACCGGTTTTGATTTTTATTTTGATCTATTTTGAATTGCGTGACACTGAAAATCAGCAATAACAGTGTCACTTTTTGCATACCTTTAAGCCAGCGAGCAGGCTCACCTTTGAGTCACGCGCGCGAGCGGCGAAGAGCAATGCGATCCGGAGGGAAGGGGTCTGGTGAAGAACCCAGAAACTGCAAGGGACCGCATACGATAAACGCTGCCAACGTAGAATCTACAAGAGATCCTACGTTGAAGAGGCGCCAAGAGAGAGTCACCTTCTCATCTCGTGGATTCGCCGCTCGATTTCCTACTCGCGTCTACGCCGCTCGCGCTTGTGCTCCAACGTGAGCCTGCTCTCAGGCTACATACCTTCTTATGGTTTGTAACTGTAATAGTTGTTAATCATGCATATAATGACATTTACTATGTCACGCACAGTCTACCAGTTTTGCCGGCCGAAACCAAGCTTCACTTTTCCACAAGAACTCGAGAGCTTTACAGTCTTTACAGCTATATTATAACAAATAAAATGTAATTCTAACAAAATGATTTTAATTGGAAGGAATGTGCAACCGAGACGAGTTCTTTCCGTTCTACTGTACCAGCTGGTGTCTAGATCCGGGGGTACTCCCACAAAAGTTGGGTGGGGGTGTGCGGACCACCTCCCAAAAATCTTTCCCTATTTATGACCAAAATCTGCGATTTTCGCTATCCTATTTATGACCTGGCCAAAAATTCGATACTCTATTTATTTATGACCGTTGCGGCTGGCACAGTTGCCCTAAACATAAGTTATGAAGGGAGTTTGTTGACGTTCTTATTGATAACGATGAAAAGTAGCTTCTTCTAAGAAATATATCCAATTCGTAATTCAAGACTAGAGTGCTAAAACCATACCCTATTTAAGACCAAAATATCCAAAATGGAAACCCTATTTATGACCAAAACGACTGAAAAACCCTACCCCTTGGGGCCGCACATACCTATATAGCCAATATATGGGAGTACCCCCTCCCCCCCCTCCCCGGGTGTCTAGATGTCAAGTGGAAGTTGAAACCAGAGAATTGTCCCAAGCAGAATAAATAGTTAACATTTGGAAATCATACCGGAAGCCGCACTCTTCAATCGCTTTCGCTCGATCTGATGGAAATCCCATTCAAAACGACAACACTGAAACACAGGTAAATCGTTTGGTTTTAAATAGCAGAATTATAACGTAATTAGATATGTAACTTTAATAGTTCGCTTTCCCTGAGAGCCGTATTCGATCATGGCAGTCAGACTATTTACTCTCTCATAAACGAATATTTTGCTCTCGTAAGCTTGTAATTCTCTTCAATGTTAGCAGCTGTTGTTCTTTTAGGGCTAGGGGCATTGTTTCTGTTGTTTGTTCTATTGTTCTCTCAAAGGGTAGCAAGCCATTCCTGTGAGACCTTGCGAGAGCTGCTACATCAGCTTATTTTTGCCCCGGCAGACAGTCCATACATTCACTCTCAAGTTAACTTTTAAAACTCTCTTTAACCGCCGCCTTTCAACAATTAACGGCAGCAGCCACCAGCTAAAGCGCGTTCCAACTGCCAAAATAACCTCTGGACAACGGCCAGTTAATCAACGACTGACAAATAGTGTACGCAAAACCCGCTATTGTTTTAATTTTGAAAGGTCACGAAATTTGATCCGTAACGCACGTCGCGTCGTCGTTTCTGTTGCTGTTTGGTTTCTGTTTTATTGATATATTTGTATTGTGTTACGTATTTATAGATTTGTTGTGGGGGCGCGGTGGCCGCACGGTTAGTGCGCTTGCCTCCGAATCGAACGGTCCGGGTTCGAGTCCTGCCCGAGGATATTCTGTTGTGTTCTATACTCTCACAGTGTCTCTCCACCCAGGTGTATAAATGAGAACCGCAAATTTAATGCTTGCGGTAACCCTGGGATGGACCAGCAACCCATCGAGGGGGGAGTAGAAATACTCCTAGTCGCTTCTTGCTTCAGAAACAGGACAAAAGGGCCGGCCTGATGGGCCACTTGGTTCGTATGCAGACTTTTGACGTATTTATATGTAGTTACAGTTTGGTTTAAAAAAAACTAAATAAATAAAATGCTGCATCCCGCGGAAAAAAAGCAGAGGTCATATTACACCCCTACCTCCCCATGACGCCTCATCTCTACAACGGCTACTTTCCTTTGTCCCCAAGGTGGCCGTTGTGGAGAGGTTCGACTGAACTTGATACGCATAATATGGATGAGCAAATAAGCATATCACTTGATACGGCTTTGGATCGATTTATCATGAAGTCATTGTCAATTTACAATCGGGACTAGCAGACTACAATGTCTCGTTGCCAAACAGGCTTCCATTTTCTTGCCGCCTTTTCACAGTAGCTCCATCGCTTCGCGTCAGTGCCGTTATCTTTTATAACAGCAGTGATCCAGTCTTCACGCACTGGTGTACAAGTTTTCTCGGTCATGTTTGCCACATTATAAAACGTAACAAACTTCTTTTGATCGTAAACAATTCTGTAAGTAAAATTACACCAGACCGGCTCGATCTCAAACCATAGTGGTAGACAAGATGTCATAACAACTGTGCCACTGTTATCTTTAACAGCCGAGCAGTTTTTGTCCTTCCATTGCCAATAAAACTCTGTCGTCGAATTATCAAATTTGCCTTTCTCAGGATTCCATACGTGGTTCATTATTATCTCTGGTTTTACGTGATAGAAGATATCACAACATCTTTTATCCTGTCTTAACCAGATTCCTTCACTTTGTGTTGTTTTTAGAGTGCTCGAGAAAACGCCATGAAACAGAGTCTTGTTTACCTTGCGTGTTCTAAACTCTTTTCTATCGTTAAAATGATAGACATCGTGGATTTCAAATGTTATTGCCTTCGTAACAGGTACAATGTTGACGTTTCTCGGCCCTTGTGGTAGCTTAGCTTGACGGACAGAGAAGGACACTAACTCTGGAACATACCGCCCAAAGAAGAAATACAACATGGCTGCCAGTGCTAAATACGCGAATAGCGAGTTAGTCCACACGCAGCAGCTTGAAAGTATGTCACCTTTCGGTGCGCAACCGAAAATCTTACCGTACTTATAATTTAGCCATACCAATCTTCCGAACGAAAACACAACGCTCACAAGAGAGGATATGAGAGACAATGTCTGCCAAGAGGCAAGGTGAAACAATTGCTCATCAACATCTTCAGGAGAATCGCAGTAAACGATGAAGAAATTCAACAGGAAACATGGGAAATCTTCGAGCAGTATCGTCAAAAGAGAAAGATACATTTTCTCTTTGTAAACGCGATCTCGTAATTTCAAATCACGGCTGAGAACCTCTTCGTCAAAATAACCTTTGAATTCACGCCACGCCAACCATACGTCCCAGCAATAAATGCCCGCTCCAATAAAGCAACAAAAGAGAAAATAAAACACGGCCACAGTTGTTACAAACTCCTTCAAATCTTCGGGCTTGGAAACGTATTTTATAAAATTCTGCCAATCCGCTACTACATCGAAAAGACCAACGACAACTGCTAAAATGAGAAATGCCCACTTTTTGAAACGATCCCACCATTGTGAAATATTTTCCTTCTTTTCTTGAGTGTCGTCGTTCACACTTGAAGGAAATATCAATGGCTTGCTATCCTCATTCATGTCGGGTTTTGGTTAACCCGCGCGGTGAATGTAACGACACTGATATGATATGAAAGTCGATCTTTCACTGATCTTTCACTGCTGCCTTTCCCAGCTACATTTCCTTTTGGATAACCCATTCAGATCCGAATGTTCCATCGGCCTGATAATGTATGTCTACGCGGCTACTCGCATCATGCATTCAGATTAAACGTCGCACAGTCTCAGATTGACGATGTCAGTGTTGATTTTTCATTTATATACGTGTGTCGAGTTCCTCAACTGATGCCTTGGTATCCAGCACAGTCAAAGGGAGAAATTAAACAGTTTGCGTGGTTTAAAACAATGTATATCAATTGAAATTTACAAATCTAAATCTTTTTACTGTTTTCCGTTTTCTTAATCCATTTCATCCATTCTCTTCGCCGATTGGCCAGTTCAACAGCTTAAAATGTAAAATAGTCTTCACTTTTTTATGGACGTCTGCATTTGGCAGCTGTTTATACGTTGACACCCTTCTAAAAAAAACTACATGACAGCAAATCGTTGCAAATTTGAATTTAATCACAATGAATTTTAAAATAAAATATATTGTTACACTCTGCAACTATAATGCATGTCGGTCTTCCCGCAATAGGACGGGAACGTAAGACATGACTGGCATCAAAATATTATATTTTCCTAGAAATAAGGTCTTTATATGAAACGATATCTTACACATTAGACTCACAGGTAATCAAGTCGAGATTTTTTAGAGCCTGGTCAATCTGTGTTCTGTTGAGTTCTCCAGAATCAAGTGAATACAATTTGGATAACGAATTTTTGTAGTCCATTACAAAACGCTTCATGATGTTCCTTATCGTCCAGATGTAGTGAGGCGGGGGGCGCTTTCATTCGAGTAAAAAATTGCTTTGAATTTTTGAGAATTGCCAGTTCGAATGGAACAGCATTTTCCCGAATTTCAGGGGTAGAGGTCAACCTCGAAACACAGACCCTAATTTCCCAGAAAATTTTGTTCCATTCAATTTTCCTGCCCAAATTTCTCGGTTCAATAGTTCACATTTCAGAAATTCAACAATTTTCAGGTTTTCCTGAAACTTTCCAAGAAAATTTCCATAGTATTGGGCCACGGTTTGAACGGTCCTGAATTTTTGGTTGAATATAAAGCGCCCGATACTAATTTATTACCGATGACGCTCTCTGGTCTAGGGTAATCGATGACAGCCAGGTGTCGTAACAACGTGCTCATTTCAAAAGGCGTCTTCTGCATATCACTGAGTGGAAACTGGCTTGTTTTACTTCCTGCTGTTGTTGCTGTTGTGGTTGGTGTTTACAGTTAAGATTTTCTGATTTCGAAGCTTCCCTCCTGTATAATAGACCATTTTACAGTTGTCTGTTCAGTGACCTAGCCTTTGAATGGTAGCGAGGCTGTAGGTGACCTTGTTTTGATACAGACCTCACTGCTTTTGTTGTGTAAATCAAGTTGTTCTTGTGCTGACTAGTTTGCATTTGCATGAGAAAAGCAGTGAGGTCTGTATCAAAGCAAGGTCACCTCCAGCCTCGCTTACATTCATAGGCCAGGTAACTAAGCACACAACAGTAAAATGGCCTATTGGTATAAATTCGTCTTCTACATATCATCGACTGGGCACTAGCTTGTTTTCCTTGCTGCTGCTGTTGCTATTGTTGTTATTGTTGTTGTTGTCGTTGTTGTCGTTGTTGTTTACACTTAAGATTCCCTGATTTCCAAGTTTCCCTCCTGTATAATCGGTATAGGAAGGGCAAGCATAATTATTCCAGAGAGACAGCACAGGGAGCCTAGAATCTTGCCCAGAGTCGTGATAGGAATCATGTCACCATACCTGGAAAAACAAGTTCAAAACCTAGTCTACAACGTCCATTATTACACATTACGACAGGTGTTAAAGAAGCCTAGTCACGGTATTTTGAGTTATTTTGGCCACGTACAAAGTAACTTTTACATTAAGAGAAACCTGAAAATAGTAGTTTACTAAATTAGAAAAACACCAAAGAGATAATAACAAACCATACAGAAACAAGGATGCTTAACAAGGACGAATGGATTGCAAACGACAAACTTGAAATATTTTAACCTTTTAAGATGCGTAAACCGTGACATTTCCTGTAAATTCATCAGGATGAGATTTCAATTTGCGCTGATCATAAGTCGAGGCACCCACGCAGGGTGAAAAAATGGTTAAAGTTTAGATCAACTGTAAGCAGTCTCAATAGCCTAATTTCGACTTGTTCGTACGTGAAAGCCTGGTAACTATTTTAGAGTATCAATACGAGGCTCAGGGGAATAAGGACAAGACAAAGGCGCTTATTTTGAAAGCAAAACAGGTGAAAATCAGGTATTGTGCCATTTCCGTGTGCAAAAACAATTCCAAAAAGCAACCAGACCTCAACTTTTTTGCTTTTCCGAGCGTGAAAAAGCTTCGAAAGCAATGGAGCACCTTTAAGCCGGCAAGCTGACAAGGAGTAGGAGTTTCAGTCTATCGCGAAGCTACACATAAGTTCTCAGCATTTCGACACCAAAGACATCGTCAAGACCTTGTGTGGAATAAAAAAGGTAGTAAACGGGGCGAAACCTGAAGTCTGGAATATTAGTAAAGTTATGGGTCCAAAACTGAAGCGAAAGTGGATGGGGAAGTAATTTTCCTCCTGTCGGGGTGATCTTCGATTTGATCAAGTCTTCCTGTAGCTCTATTTCTTCATCAACTTTTGGCACCTTCATTTCGGCTGCATTTTTGCAAAGCTCCAGCAGTTCAGCCCTTTTCCTTTTCTTTCCATCCACAGCTATTTGAATGTCTCCCGCCTTTAGGAAGTTCTGTAGCTCTGGGACTTTCATACTTACGAACGAAGAACTTTCATTGTCCGCCATCTTGATGAGTTATTCCCCTGAGCGTCGTCTTGATGCTCTAAAATAGTTACCAGGCTTTCACGTAAAAACAATTCGAAACTAGGCTATTGCATGCTGTTAACTTTTCCGGAAGAGCGGAGGATTTTAGGAACAAAAACTGACTGCTCGTAGCCTAGAGTTTGAAATCAACTTAGTCAAAGAGGGAACGTGATTCGTTTTGGTCGGGGGGGGGGGAGTTATGACGATTGCATTTGGTGGGGGTGACCTTTTGTTTAGCATTTTCGAATGATACACGTATCTCCTCAGCTTTTTTCCTCCTGATAACGTCACAAAATGGCTACAATATCGAGGAAACAGGTGTTGAGAATAAGGGTAATGATCGACTCTTCACACTGCCTTGATGAACAACGGAATTCTCCTAAATCACCCAACGAGATCGGATGGCAACCTGCAGGGAGAATTTAAATTTTAATCTTGGCTCATACTGACTTACCCTACAGTCATCATGGTGATGATCGTATACCACATGCTGTCCGGAATACTTTTGAATTTTGTCTCCTCCGCCTGCATTTGTTCGATGTAATACAACACGCTTGAAAACACCATGTTCATCAATAAAAACGCGAAGAACAAAAACCCCAGATCGACAACAGCGCGCTTCAAAGCCCTTCCCATCTGCCGCATGTGCTTGGAATGGCGCGAAAGCTTAAAAATCCGGAACACTCTGAGCATGCGTAGGACCATCAAACCGCTGGCGTTCTCCACGGCGGTCGAAGAATCGGGCGAGATATGTTTGAATAAAAGAATGACATAAAAAGGCGCAACGGCCAGTAAATCCACAATGTTCATCTTGTTAATGATAAATTTCCAACGTTGGTCAGCCGCGTAAAATCTAAGAATATACTCAGCTGTGAAAACGCTCATGCAGAAAGCATCAATGACGAAAAATACTTGAGGGTATTTCTCCTCGCACGTTTTATCCTTGCAGCAGCGCTCCGTCTCAATAATGGTACAGACAACACTAAGATATATGAGAACTGCGATGAAGCTCTGGACGCATTTTCCTAAGCGGTTCGTTTCGGTATTTTCAAGAAGATTCCAAAACCATTTACGAAGAAATGATTTATTTCTATGCGGTTCAGCACATGCGCAGTTTGGCTGTTTTTCACTTTTGGGGCCAAGTTTTTTCGACAGGTTGTAACATTCTTCCCAGCAGCAATCGTTCAAGTTATCCATATCAATTCCATAAAAGCGTAGCTCTTCGTGAAAAGCACCCAGGCAATCCTCGTAGGAATAGTGCAGTTTTCCGTCACGATAGAAATTGAGAATGTATCTAAACATGTGTGGATCTCTATCAAGGAAGTACTCTTTCTTGTCATCGTCGAAGTAGAGCTTGATGGCTTCGCTGCCTAACAACGTGTTTGGATATTTCTTCAGCGTGCTGTCCCAGGTGCAGAACCGCCGTCCGCTGACATTTATTGTGACACGTTTGTCGATCCTCTCGGTTCTTAGTTTGCCGCTTCTATTCTTAGACTGCAGTGTCATTCACCAAGCCGTCTGTCAACTTTCCTGTGGCTTTAATTTCCTATTGGTTAATATTCCTCAAATCGACGTGTTTTTAAGATGTTCTTCTGCGAAGAGCAAAAAAAAAAGACAACGGTAAATAATTCAGTATATTACACGTTTGCTGCCCTTGGCGAAAAAAATGGCAAGGCGAAAACAAAAATGACTATCAAACATCACAATTATTCTAAATTATCAGATATATTCTTATTCGCTTTTGTTCCTTTGTTTTTTCAAGCTGTTCCTGTGTGAATAGTGAACAAAAAAGAGACTGTAAATAATTCAGTATTACACAAGTGTACCTTTGGCGAAGAAATGGCCATAACATCAAAGCGAAAACAAAATGGTCATTAAGTATCACAATTGTTATAAACCACCCAAAATATTCTATTCTTTAATGTTCCTGACATCAATGTTTTTTTGCCTCTTTTGTAATCTATCCCTCTGCGAACAGTAAAACGAAGAGAACGGTAAATAATTCACTTAAGTGTACCAGACGTTTACCCTTGGCGAGAAAATAGCGTCGAGGCGAAAGCAAAAATGATCATCAATTATCAGAATTACTATAAACTACCAAAAACCTACCGGGACGGTCTGGATAACGGTTCTGTAATAGATATCGTGTTGCCGATGACTCAGTGTTAAAATATTTTTCGCTTATGATAGGTACGTGAGCTAGGTTTTGACGCACAATTCAACACGTTTTCTAACTTGTTCCTTTTATGTCAGTCCGTTTAAACATTCAAGTTTTTCTCCAGTTAATAGACAAACACAACCTGCTTTTTTCTATTTATTCGTATAACATTACTGACCATAAGTGTCAAACTGTCCACACGTCTAAACTTGTCACTCTCTTCTGATACACGTGCCAACATGCACTTTTTGATATCCTGTGTTCAACATAATCCGAAAGCGAGGCTAACATTCTAACACGACATGTGCTTACTTTTATTTCCTTGGCCACTGATGTATCTTTGCTATTCAAAAATTTTGCGACATCTTAATGTATGGTCTGATTATGTTTTAAACATAATTTTATTTGCACGGAGATAACAAAGGGAAATTTTCCTTCTATTCATTTTATACTTCGTGGGAACTGAGCTTAATTTCTACCTGCTTTCACCTGTTCTTTTAATCTCCCTCAAAGACTTATTAGCAGCAAAGTGCTTTTATCTTAGCGCTTCCGTTAGCTATCTTCCTATCACTTCCCTGAGGCCTTAACGTTGTAAAGTCTGCTCGGCCTTTTCCTCTTTTCTTCAATCTAGCTAATTTAATATGAGTTACATCAAGTGATAAACGGCCTCGTTAGCCGAGATGCCTTTGCCAAACCGAAGCTATTTTATTAAGCTATCTCTCCTTACCGAATTAATTTTCATATTGTTAATTCATCAGTCAGTTGAAAGTGTGAGTGATATAGCAATGAAGCAGCAAAATTGTTTGCCAGATGGAAAGGTTTTCACCGAATTGTTAAAACTGTTCTTTGCCGGCCACATTTCTGTAACGTTACTCCAGCTTAAAGCTGGATCCAATTGTTCAAAGGTTAGATAACGCTCTCCACCGGATAAATTACTATCCAATGGATAAGTGTTCACAAAATAAGCCAAGCTATCCGCTGAATGGTGATGTATCTAGTGGATAGCGTTAACCACGGTTTGAACAACTAGGGCCTGATGTCTTAACTAAATTATGTTCTTACCGTTAAAGCTTCGAACGACAAATCTTCAAATGTAGTTTTACGATCGTTGGTCAAAGACTATTCCAAGCATATGGATTCCACTTGTAAAGCGATCACCCAGCGCTAAAGTTTACAGAAGTTTAATTTTGGAAAGCGGAAGTTGATTCACAAATCAATATTTTGAAAAGCGTTGGCGTTTCCGAAGAAAACCGCTGAACAAGCTGTAGACAATTGGTTAAAATAAGCAAAAACGTTTACACAGAGAGAGGTCGGAATAAGAGGTGTCTTAATTGTTCTTGAATAGCCCCCCTGTGGAGATCCAATAAAGTTTGCATACATGATAAAAGCACTTCCAAAGCGGTATTATTCGGCCGATTAGTTAGTTAACGAAAATTGTAGTCTAAATTAGGATACATTAAAAACTTTAATGTCATTTTACATAAATTTTCAGTTAAATTAAACACAGAGAAACCATAGGCCTGTCGAGAGGCACCGTTTAAGCGTTTTCAACAAAATCAGTTTTAACGAAAAAATACATCCACTGAATTGGACCATCTCGCTTTTTTTTCTTTTCGAAAATTTAATATTCGCTATGGACAGCGCTTGGAACCATTCAAGTTATACAGCTGCAGAAATTAGGTGAATTTCTAGATCTCAGACTGTCCTAACTGTCACTGGATTTTTGTTCTCTTTCTGCAATCAGGAATGATATCAAAATTGTCAAACGGTAGAGGACGTGAACATGGATCCTATTTGTCTCCTTGTTACAGTTCAACAGATACCGGTCTTCAAGCCTCGAGATATAGCAAACCGGCACATTATGACTCACCTCACTCGCCTTACGTCTAGAGTGCAATTTTAGTAGAATTACAAGTTGACTGTTGTCGATGTGTCTCCACCTTCTTGATTTAAACATCAGCAAACAACCGTACTTGTTCTTTTGGATTCAGCATCTTTAAATTAGAACTGTTTCCCTTACCATTCTTACAAGGGTAAATTCTATCGTCAGCCGTCGACGGAAGAGAGTTACATTAAGATAGGAGATTCCTAAATATCGATTACCTCATATTTAGCAGCGTATTATTGTCTCCTCGTACAACTATCACTTGGCGCGGTAATTGTTCTTAAGAAATTAACCACCGAACATATAGGACTTGATGGTTAACTTCGCTATGTTATTCAGTTTCGTCCTAAATAATTTTTCCCTAATTGTTTAAAACGCACGTAAAGTTCTTAATGTGATTTTACGATTAACTATCTCAGAACTTAAATTTACGTTGTCACATTCGAAAAATAAGTTCAAAACTTCGCCGACTTTTCTTATTTACATCAACCGTAAAATAGCTAATTTAATCATTTTCAGTCAAAAGGCTTTCTTTTTAACCGTCACCTATCGAGGCTTCCCCACCGTGTTAAGTTAATTTCACTAAGGGGTCTTGTCGCGTTATTCAGGACACCGAATATGTTTTTATCAAAGGAAGGGTTGATAAATGTTTATTCGTTAGAGCCAAATACACATGAGAATTCAACCTCTAATTTGAGGTCAATGATCATTATAATTATTTTTCCGTGACAGGTATTCATCACGATCATATCTCGGTTAGAAAATCATAAAATATACTTAACGTTCCTTTGCATTTTAACCAAATATTCAGAATTTATTATTCAGCTTGAACCCTTTCAACCTCCAAGCGATCAAATATGATGACAGAGCGACAGTCTGGAAGCGAAGAGGTTTCTGTAGTCTTACTGATCACGAACACCTTCTAGAAACATTTGAATTTTGCCAAGATAAATATCGTTAAATAACCTTTTATCCTAAAAGCAACCGAATGATTTAAATTATCCGTTTAATTTCCACAAAGTTTATCAGTACCACATACATAGATCGGGAATTCGTAATGTGCACTAGATAGATTGCGAAAAAAAACAAAAAACAGAAAGCTGGAAAGTCTTCAATTATTCGGGAATATCTGACTTGTATTTGTCTTAATGTAGCAGAAAATTCACAAAAAATAAAAAAATAAAAAGTAGTTATAGAATTATTATTTTACTATTACGCCATGTGAAGATGCATGTACTGGCCAAGAGAAGAAGCAAATGTGAGACCGTAACAGTACTGTTCTCATTCTGTACATTTATTCTTCATTTTGGAGCTGAGATATCGAGAAATCTATTCGATGTTTTTTGGAGATAATACTTGCGGACATTTTACTAATTTCTCGAAATACCACGAAACTAGTGAAAAACCCGCAATGTTTTCTGTCTTGGCATCGAATAAGGTGTGTAGAATTCGAATTATTTCTCTTAGGGGAACATACAAGAAACGAAGACTGAGCTATCTTAGGCACAAATATTCCTTCATCGAGTTATATTTGAATTTTTGGCAAAGAAAAGTGCTTTGTAAATCGGAAAGTTGATCAGACTGTGGCAAGGCGACCCAAGTATTTTTGAACAATCAAGGGAACATTCGAGTCCCAGTTTCTAAAAGTGAATTCCCTTTACGATTGCCAATTGTATAGTGTTGAGAATTCGCTAATACACCAAAACAATCTCTCAGTGAACAACTTGCCTTTGTCTCTGATCACCTGTCCCCTTGACCATGACGAAGAAGTTGCAAGGATAAATTAAAATGTTCGTCACGTACTCTTGGGAAAGATAGCAAAAGCGACTGACCTTTCTAGGGCATGTAAGGAGTAACTTGCTAGAGAGAGGAGTTAAAGGTGCCTTTAACGTTTCACCAAGGAAATATATTGACGTACAAAGGCTCTTAACAACAAGAAATGACTCCTACAATATGCTGAACTCAACAGCTGCAAGTTCATTATTTACGCCAAGTTTGCATACATTTCGGCACCTTATTGAGTCTACGTTTCAACCTTGAAAATAAAATTGGTTTTCAATTAATATTTTCGTTTGAATTGCCGATCAGTGAGACATACGTTTGAGTTAAATATAAGCTCACATACTCAGGAAGTGAGGTCTATTTTTCACCCAGGTTTTATTTGTAACGCAAACAGCATCTTAAGAATAACTAATAATTTGTAATATCTATAATCCAGTACCAAAATGTTCGGTTATTTCACAAATAATATGCATCTTGCGACCGGTGATTTAAAAGGAAACTTCATGAATTAAATTAATCTATCCTGAAGGATCATTTACAAAAAGAATTTATCTTTATTTCCTGAGTGAAATGATCCATTTTAGTATATTAGTTCGCTGTCTAATTGATTTCTCCTCATTAATTTTCAGTACTCTTCGTTGTTTTCATAAAATGTTTTTGAACGAGTCATGGCCAAAACAATTAAAATTATCATTTCTTAGTTTTATATCATGACAACATCATATGCCCCCAATGATGATTATCAGAAAACGCGTTTTTCTAGAACGATCTGTATTTACATATTCTGGACTTGCCGATAGTACTGTTCGACGGAGGACTAAATGAAATTAAACTGTGAAGTCCTCCCCTTTTTTGCCTAAAACAAGTACCGTCTTGACCAATTATCCTGGTAGACTTGTCATGGAAGGAACAGAATTGTCGTGCATACAAGTAAAATATGGCTTCCCGTTATGTAAGGAATTCTTCCGCACTTAAAGCGTTTAAAGCGCTTTCTCGACACATTTGATGCAGATGCATGAGGGCCCGCCTTTCCTTCTGTTCCTTATTTTCCTGTTGTGTTTCTTTACTATTTATTATTCGGTTTGGTGACTCCAACAAAGTTTTGTCCTAAAAATATTATCTTTTGATCTTGTACAATAGAAATTTTAGACAGGTAAAAAACATGCAGTTTTGACACGAGTGTCGAAAGTGACGTGCAACACCAATCACACCTCCCTCGCACACGTTTTCCCGCGCTTCGCTCGCACACGTTTTCTCGCGCTCCGCGCAGCTACATGTATTTGTTTCGAGCTTAATTTGATTGGTTCACCAGACTACTTGTTTCTCTGGTGATTAGCACGGGTGATTACTAGCTTTACTACAGTCAAATGAAAACCGCTTTATAAATCAGCAGGAATGAGAGCATTCACAAATTAAGCTTCATATAAGACTTTAAATTAAAGCTTTTAATGAGCTGCCAATCAAACCCAAACCAATCGAGTTTATCTCTCATTCATTGCATTGTTAATGCTGACAGACTGTCGATTGCAA